GCTTCTCTAGTATCCCGTCTCATCTGGTTTTCGGATTACCCACCCCCCCCCCCACCCACGTCCCGACTTTCGAATCCATACGTCGAGCCGTTTAGATTTGTGCCCAACTGTTGACGGACGCACGCACGGACGGACGGACGCACGGACGATCATGCAATGTCTCAGTACAAGCTGCATCTGACTACGTCAGATGAGCTAATAAGAAAACAAAGATGGAGCCTGAATAGTGAATATTAACGCTGCAATAATCTCATTACCAGCATCCAGCAATTAACATTCAGTGATTCACTCGCTGATTACGACTTCAGAACTTACTGCTTATAGTAGAGCATAGCCTCGACAGGCTGACCCCAGTTGTCGTGTTCCACGCCCTTGTGCAGGATTGTCGTCCATTCCTGCGCGTGACGGCTGATGTCATTGTCAGATTCCGCCATTAGTTCGTGCCATCCCCGATTTGTGCTGTAGCCGACAGCATAGGATCAACGCGCAGTCAGTGAAACAACTATAGTTCTTCTACCTGCGTCGCCATTGTGCCGTGTTGGGGAAGTTAGTCTCCCACCATCGCTGCCTTGCTAGGCTATATCTTAAACCGCAGCAGGAGAAGGTACCAGTCAGTCAAGCGGAATTTAGTACGCTTACCTGTGCGGTAGATGGCAGCACGTGATTGTCTCTGAGCTCTGCTCTGAGCGATTCGAGAATCACGAATCACGTATCAACCACCAACTGCGTCAAGTTTATAGTTCTCTGATATTTATTCTTTAATTATTTTATTCCTAAGGCTTAACTCAACGTGTTGTGGCATATTAATTCACTTTGTGTTCAGTTCTATATGTCGATAAGATGAATTAGAAGAGCATAGGAAAATCAAGTAGGCCCTAAATGCGTCCACTTTTAATGACCTCTTCGATCTCGGTGTTTTGCCCCAACCCCAATATTCTGTCAAAGAAATACCTTACGGATATTGTAAGTTTAAAGACACCACATGTTCATAACAAGATACATGATAAGACCCGATTTTCACTTTTTTGACTGTTAATTAGAATACCTCCACAACTACAATTAAATGAGATTTTTGGGTTTGGACGTACAGAGGCTTGTTCACAAAGAACAACACAATCGAGAAATTGACCGAATGTATAAGGACAGCCAATACAATGACATACAGCCACTGAAGCCATACTGCACTGACACAACAGCAGCAGACTCGAGCAAACAAAGGCATCACAGCAGTGCCTCCTACATTGCACGAGCCGCAGCGTGCACGGGCTACGTCCACGCGGTCAGCCAGCGAGGTGAATATCCCTGCACCACAGCCTCACTCCCCACCTCGACCTTCTCCTTCCTTCCTCCTCCCTCCCCTTACTCACACACACTCATCCAGCCCTCACTCACCTCCCTCACCTCCCTCACCTCCCTCACACTTACCCAGCCCTCTTCCATCACTCCCCTCCCTCACACACACTCACCCAGCCCTCCTCCATCACTCCCCACCTCCATCCCCACACACACACACACTCACTCAGCCCTCCTCTCTCACTCCCCTCACTCACACTCATCCCTCACTCCCCTCCCTCCGCCCTCCTCCCTCACTCCCCTCCCTCACATACACACAGCCCTCCTCCTCCCTCCCCTCCCTCACACACACTCACTCAGCCCTCCTCCCTCACTCCTCTCCCTCACCTCCCTCACACACACTCGGCCCTCCTCCCTTACACACACACTCACTCAGCCCTCTTCCCTCACTCCCCTCCCTCAGCCCTCCTCCCTCATTCCCCTCCCTCACACACACTCAGCCCTCCTCCTCCCTCCCCTCCCTCACACACACTCACCCAGCCCTCCTCCCTCACTCCTCTCCCTCACCTCCCTCACACACACTCGGCCCTCCTCCCTCACACACACACTCACCCAGCCCTCCTCCCTCACGCCCCTACGGCGCCCCTCACATTGTTACTGACCTAGGCTTCGCAGCATCACAGCGCGCACCGCCAGCTAATGATGAAGCCTAATGAACGCAGCTTCCCATGCGTGTCGGCAAGCAGCCAAACACCACCTCCATCCTCCGTGTAGATCTATGTCTGCTGGTGACAGCATCACATACGGCCTATAGTATATCCGCCGCGTATGTGTAACCGCATCATTGACCGCATGCATACGCGTGTACGTGTTATTGCCTGTCTAGTATATATGCGTGTACGTGTTACTGCCTGTTTACTGTCTAGTATATATGCGTGTACGTGTTACTGCCTGTCTAGTATATTATATGCGTGTACGTGTTACCGCCTGTCTAGTATATTATATGCGTGTACGTGTTACCGCCTGTCTAATATATTATATGCGTGTACGTGTTACCGCCTGTCTAGTATATTATATGCGTGTACGTGTTACCGCCTGTCTAGTATATTATATGCGTGTACGTGTTACTGCCTGTCTAGTATATATGCGTGTACGCGTTACTGCCAGTCTAGTATATATGCGTGTACGTGTTACTGCCTGTCTAGTATAATTATATGCGTGTACGTGTTACTGCCTGCATACTAGTATATATGCGTGTACGTGTTACTGCCTGTCTAGTATATAATATGCGTGTATGTGTTACTGCCTGTCTAGTAGTATATATGCGTGCATGTGTTACTGCCTGTCTACTAGTATATATGCGTGTACGTGTTACTGCCTGTCTACTAGTATATATGCGTGTACGTGTTACTGCCTGTCTACTAGTATATATGCGTGTACGTGTTATGTGGATCCGCGGGGATGCGTTTTGATTGTTCCCACGAGCTGACTCGTGGATCCGCGGGGAACGTGTTAATCAGCCATGTTAGCATTAAAATATGCAAATCAAACATCAATATTCATACAGTTGGCATCCTTACGAATCAAATGAGACCAGATTTGTTTTGTTCTAATGTAAGGGAGGGGTACTGCATCAAAACTTAGGATTGGAAAATGGCCAAAAAGAGTAAAACCCCCGATTTTGGGGTATTAAAGAGCCCAAACCCCCATTGAAGGGGTTAAAACCCCAAATAATGTGAGAGTGTCCTTAGCAGAAAGGAATTAATGTGATATTAACATGTTTTCAGTCTCTTAATGTGCCAAAATAACAATTATGAAGATATTCCAAAATTCACCAATTTTTATGCGTTTTATCAAACAAGGGGTTAAATGGCAATGTTTTAATTCGAATATGACTGTAAAACATTGTTTTTCATAAAGCAGACATCCTAACGAATCCAACGATACCTCATTTGCCTTGTTCTAAAGTGGGGAAGGGTAACTCCTTAAATAAGACCCTTTTTGGGCCCCGGTCGCTCTACTACAATGACAGCCGGCGGTGAACCATGCATGATAGAACCAGACGTGCGAGGCATAAGATCTAGCGAGAAACAATAACACGAAGTCTCAGAGACAAGGTAAACGTAGGCACTATTGAAAGTCAAGCGGCTAAAGGTCACGTACTCATCTGCTACAGTTGCTAATTAGTTATTCTTAACTACAGCGCTAATAAGCTACGTTAATGAGCTACTTAAGCCAATTATCAATACGCTTGCTGTTAATTCAAGTGCATTTTAGGACATTTCAATGAGCAAGCTGCGGATATTAAAGTGTAGTTAAAGCTGATAAAGCGGAAGCAACCGCTCCTGTAAATTCGTAGGTAGATAGCGGCACCTATTGGTAGCAAATCAATCTTCACGTCGCGAATGCTTTTCTATACAACCTAGTGGTGAGTTTAGACTCAGGGTAGACAAGTCGGTGCAACATAGCAGACGGCTGAATAAGCGAATTTCGCTTATTCATGCTATAACTTTCTACTAAACTCAATCGGGCCTACACGTTGGCTGCAAAAATAACACGATCGCGTGCGCGCTGTGTAAATTCAATTAGAACCATTTGTTATTGCAGCGCGTCTACATCACACAGACGATCTAAAGGTTCGAGTTCCATTTTTAGCCGCTGCTGTTGTACACCTGAGCAAGGCACTTAGGGCTGATGTGATTCAGTCGCCATATCTTCAGAATCAATGTTTTCAAAGCGCCGGTATAAGGCACAACCCCTCCCCGCGTTAGCTTGAAAAGGCTACTGCTACAGTACGTACGTATCATGCTACTACAGTACTACAGTAGCTACAGGTAGATGCAGAATAGTACAGACACAAGAGTAACAGATGAGGAGATGGCATGCATCGCGAGGGGCGATAATATTACAAACACGATCACACGATTCTCGATCGGCAGCGCATTCGGTTATCGATTTCCCCCTTGATAGGTTTCGCGTCTATCGATTACCGAAACGCGCCGTGATTCGGAAGCGAGTTTTTTCTTGCATCCACGTCTTTGTTTTATCGCCGTCGGCACGTCTCTTGCCGAATTCATGCTTTGCAAACCCCGCAGGCAGTCATTCTGCCGACGACGATTTGTACGTGTGTTCAACATAGTATTATATATATATATATATATATATATATATTATCATCATTAGTATTATCATTAATATTATTATTATAATTACTCGTTACCTACTACAGAGGCTTATCTCAATCTTGGAGCCGGTACACGTCCGGACCCAGTCGTTACCATTGCGTTGTTCGTGCTTTACTTTGAATTTTACCGATTTTCGGTTTCCACTGCTTTTCACAAGTTTTTACTGTACGTAGAGGTGCCGAGCACACCTGTCTGCGGCCAGGTGTATGTCCGTATAAATAGCTTCCTGGATGGTAGTCTACCTATACGTCTCTGCGTGTGTGTCGAGGAAGTCCCTATATATAACGATGGCAGACAGGAAATATAGCAGAAGAAGCCATGATTATGTAGACTTAATTTAGATACTGAAGCTTGCTGTATATCGTGTGACACATGCGCACAGAATATTATCCCGACTAAGCAGTCAATGGTACTGATAGAATTCCACACTTAGGGGCCGTGACAATAAAATTAAGCAATGCGGTTTTCGTAGCGAACATAGCGTTTATTGGTGCTACGCGTTCGGATACTCAGAATATGTACGGAAAATAGCTCTATGTACTAAAACGCCCGATATAATTCACGGATAATATAATTTAATATAGTTAACGTATTTCGCTATACATACGTTAGCACATTTCTTCTACAGACGCTGATCGACTGTTTATACTTTCTGCGCGTTCAGTATAGGCACCTATCTCACGTCAACACGCAAGGCATGTTTCCGGGAGTGTTATAATATATATATATATATATATATATATATATATATATATCCTGATGTTACTGCATCTTACAGCTGGTCATTACCAGTATAACCTACCTATCCCGCCGTTTTCTATATTGTATATTCATGTTTTATGTTCTTACCATGAGCTATCCGCTTGGGATGGTCAATAGGTGGCTCCAGCTAAACAGCGCTGTGATAGAAGCGTTGTAAATAAGCTGCTTAGTAACAAAGCGCCGTAAAGTTTAATAGTGTGACGCGCACGAACGAAACACGCATATACAAATCGGTAGAATAGATTGAGCGATCCAGCAACAATATCCAAGAAGGGAGTGCGTATCTCGTTCAGACGAATACATGTGTGAATCCTACAAAATACATAGGAAAATCCTACAGATATGAACCATTACAGAATAGTGCGAGCCGGAGGCAACGTCATCTCAGCACCTATAACACAAACTATAGATACGATATATATATAGACGGGGAGCGCGTGACATAACACGCTACTGTCTTACGAACATAGATAACACCAGTTTAAAGGGTGCGAGTAAAATGTTTATCAAGCACGCAAATTAAGGCAGCGAAACACATTGTATAATAGTGTGACACGTTTCGGCGAGGTTTTACATTCGTCAAACATCAACTAATCCTTTCGAGAGAGTACGAGTTTTACAAACCACAGATGTATTGATTCATTCACAATATCGAAAAAACAGCTCTTATTTTTTACAAAACACCTCTCAAATTTGTACAGCAAAAACCTTTACCGAAATGTGATTTTAAATACACAATAAATACAAATTTAATGAGCGAAATTCAAGACGTGAGTTACTACTTAATCATTGTAGTATCTCTCTTCGATCGCAAGGTAAATGATGAGTAATTTTGTAACGGAAATCACATTACAGCCCGCAGCCATGATAATGATTTTGTCGTGGCGACTAATTTTCTACACTTTTTAATGCCTAATTATTTCCGGCATACATGAATACATTTGCGTGCAGATATAGGCTGTGAACATAACCGTCGGCACCGCCATGCTTAACCCGTGTGGCGTCGACGACGACAACAATCGACGCTTAACGGCTAATCTTTAAATAAAGTTTAAAAATATTAACGTTTCACGCTGTGAGTGTTATCGCAACGGGACGTAATGTTATCGTGATCACGGCGTGGCGTATCGTGACGTTAGTACCGTCGCGTGAGAGCATGCGGCAGTTCCTGTGACGCCGAGTCGCCGCTACAAGCATGAGCCCTTACTCACACTGACGCGATCAATGCGCACAAACGAACACGAACATGCTATCGTAACAGTCCCCCCACACGCGATAAATTCTCGAAGAAATTTCGCAAAGCGAAATTTTATTTGGCACTTTCTTTTCACTTTCCGATACGAAGATATGCAATAAAATAACGACTTACCTAAATACCTGTGATAATGATATGCTCTTAGCTTTATCAAAATAGTGTCTACGCAACCGCCGTGGCACGGTTAGTTATATTCAGTTAAGGTAGTTAGTAAGTATCCTCACAGATACATTCTGAGGGAGTTACATTCTTACATCACGTATGAGGAAGCCAACGTTCTATACAAAACGCTCCCTGTCGCGTACACTTCCCAATACGGCATTCCTCCAACGTTTGCAAAGACCAATAAATGGAGACGTTTGTAAAACGTTTCATACATTACCCGTGCGTGACAATTAAGCTACTATAATTGTATAACAGTATTCGACTGATACAGGAGAGTAGATAGAGTCTTATACGTGTATATGAGTATATTTTACAGCACAGACGATGTCATCAAAGGGCCACACGTTTGCACATATGTGGCCCGGATACCAACTCGCGCGTTCAACCAGATCAGGAGGACGTGGCGAGCTACGTTTATTAAACAGGAGAACCTATCAGCCGTAACTCCACACACTGCGCTGACGTGCTGGCACGGCACCGTAATAAAACACGCGCACGTATTTAACGTCGTCTTTTACAGACTTATCTCACTTATCTCCCCTACTCTCTCCGAAGCACTCGCGGCTATCTTGAGCTTATTTCGACAAAATGCACCTACTCCCTGTTTTCACCTCACGTGCTCTCTCACTCTCCCTCACTCTCCATCTCGCTCACTTCTCTCTCTCTCTCTCTCTCTCTCTCTCTCTCACACACACACACACACACACACACACACACACACACACTCCATCTCGCTCACTTCTCTTTCTCTTTCTCTCTGTCTTGCTGCGTCTCTCTGTCTTGCTGCGTCTCTATCTCTCTCGCGCTATCTCCCCCTCTCTGACTAGATTGAGATTCTTTTGGTGGCAAATCACGTCTTCGCGTCTGCCTCCAGGCATCACACGAACATCATGTACCAACAGTATAACTAGCCTCAGTAGCTGATCTCGCTGGCAGTCTCGTAGTCGTCATCGTTCTGCTCGTCCACGGACGCCATGTTGCTGCCACTAAAAAACTCTCGCAGCCTCAGCTGCTGCTGATGGTTCGTCTGCAGATTGCTGGGTTTAGCACGTGGCGCTCCTGCGACGTTAGACGGCGCTTTGGCCCGGGGCCCTGTCACAAACGTAACAAACAAGTGTCAACTCTAATGCTATAGGAGGCATACAACAGTAAGTGCACTATTTCTTCTCTAGAAAAGGCCTTTTTTGGCTTTTTTTTCGCCGAAATTCGGCACTAGAGTGCAATAATTTGCATTATGCACGCAAGTTAGATGCATCGTCTAGAAAGCATTGGAAGTAAAATTGGTCTTGTTGTGTATTCGTGACATTTCGTCAGGTGGCGTAGCCACAGCGACCGGTTGGTAATTTTTGTGTTTGAAATGTGTTCAGACAACTTTGCAGAAATTCGCATCATAGAGCTGGCAAAAGTTTCGAGCGGAGCATAGAGCATGAATCTGTAGTTATTTAACATGAATAAAGTGTATGTTGTGTAAGCGAAGTAACAGTGTGAGTATTTTTAATTAATTTCTGTTCGATGCTTATTCAGGCCTGCTGCTTATGGACGCCCTCTACTGTTGTTCACCACCTTAAGCCGACTGGTAAGGAGAGCTGTTCTGCCAAAGAAATCGAATAATTTAGTTTTATGTTAATGATAATCAGTTATGCAAGTCCTCTAGCATGGCTTTTAGACACATGCATGTTCAAATGACATTCTGAACGGGAACAAACCTATCCGCTCAGGTAACCACGACCCGCGTGAATATTGCTGCTAGGTCGGTCAAGCTTGACCAGTTATATACGTGTTTTCCACGCGTGCACACCAAGCTGTCGACTTTGCGGCACTTCGTTGACAAGCATTGACGTTTATAACGCTCTAGCGCGGCGATGATTAGCTAGAACTGCCTGCCAGACGCGTCAGGCGGATATGTCAACTCTCAACGCATCACGCTAATACCTATTCATACGCAACACGTGCCGCGCGACGTTTAATTGAAACTAATCGACACTTGCGACACACAGCGTGTGGCAGTTACGTACGTCAGCGCGTTCTACGTAACTCACCCGGTTGTTTCTGCATCGAGCGGCTCTGGTGTGTCAGGTAGGAGGGCTCCGAGTGTCCCTGCTGCCGCTGCTGCTCATGCGCGCGCGTGACGTCAGCGAGCAGCTCGGCTCGGCTGCGCACGGACTCCATGGAGTGGTCGCGCGTCCGGGATGACGAGCGAGATCGTAGGATTGTCGACGCCATAATGGGCGGAGGCGGTTTCCTCTCCCCTACAGGCGTCAAGAAATACACAGAGTAGAACAAATAAATTATATATGCATATATATATATATATGTTTATATATATATATATATATATGGTTATAGTTATTTATTCATAATTTTGTTATTTATCGCTCGGTCGATCATTTGGATGGCTAAACAGGTGGTCAGGCAGGCAGCCAACCAGTCGGTAAGCTAGCCAAGCCAGCCAGCTAGTAAAGGAAGCAATCAGACGCGCAAACACTTTAAATGAGCCTCTCAAATATTTTACCACCCGTAAATTTACAAAAATAATATTGCGTCGTTTCCACACCTATCCGCAATGCCACACACTCTGCAAACGCTCGCCGTAGATAGACCCATGAATAGATCGAACCACGCACGATAAATGGACGCGTCTATCGTAGAAATGGAAGCAAGTTGGTCTCTCTCTCTCCTCATTCTCTCCCTTCTCTCTCTCTCTCTCTTCTCTTCTCGCTCTCTCTCTTCTCTCTCTCTCTCTCTCCTTCTCTCTCTCTTCTCTATCTCTATCTCTCACCACACACTTGTCTTTTCTCTCTCCTCTCTCTCTCTCTCTCTCTCTCTCTCTCATCTCTCTCTCTCTCCTCTCTCTCTCTCTTCTCTTCTCTCTCTCTCTTCTCTCTCTCTCTCTCTCTTTTCTCGCTCTCTTCTCTCTTCTCTCTCCTCTCTCTTCTCTCTCTCTCCTCTCTCTCTCTCTCTCTCTTCTCTCCTTCCTTCTCGTCTTCTTCTCTCTCTCTCTCTCTATATATATGATATATACATATATATATATATATATATATATATTATAATTATATATACATATATAATGTCGACGGTGGCGACGTACCCTGCGTCCCGATGACGTCGTTGTAGCTGCCGTTGACGCTGTTCTTTCCGTTACTCGTCGGCTCCGACCGCGCACCCTTTCGACTGTTCAACAGCCTTCCCCGATGCCGCTCGCTCGCCTCCCTGTTCACCTTCATTAGCTTCTCTTTGAGTTCTTGACGATTGACGGGGTGACTGGCTTGCGGGCTGCTGCTGAATATCCGGCTGGATTTGTCGACCGTGTCCGTGCTCTTGGAGCGCGTCATTTGTGATTTGGTTCTGTTCGATGTAAAATGGCGCGTAGAGAAAAAACAGTTTCTACGTTTACGCCATACGTCCACTTGGAAATCATATAGAATCTAGACGCGGATTCTTTAAACTATAAAGGAACTGTTTCTACGTATACGCCATACGTTAGTTTGGAATCATATAAAATCTAGATGCGGATGCTTTAAACTATAAAGGAATTGTTTCTACATACACGCCATACGTCAGTTTGGAATCATATAGAATATATCAAACGGGCCCTCTAGAACTGAATGAAATAAAATGACGACGAAATATCGCTGAAGTGCCGGTAAACGAAAGGAACAATGTCTGCGTATGCGCCACACACCCATTTCGATTTATCAGGGTTCTGGATCTTGATGGAGTAAATTACGTTGTTCCATCGAAGAAGCGGTGGGAAACTCGAGGAATTGTTTCTACGTATACGCCGCGTGCATTCCTGCCTGACTTGATGGCCAATGACTCAAATGACTGAACGTCGTGCTTTACCTGAGCTCGCTGGCTTTCGTGTGTTTCACCGTGGTTCTCTTGCGATCCGCGTGGCTGAATCGATTGTTTGAGTCTTGGCTGTGATTTTTGCTGTTTCGGCTACGGGATTGTCTCTCCTCGGACCAACTCCTTCTGCCCCACGAATTTCGTTTGTCTGCATCAGAGGGCGAGATCATGGCAAGCGTTCAGGTCATGTGGATATATACAGTGGATGGAAAGGAGGGTTGTTGAATACGCATACACTGCACACAATCGCAAGCGACATCGTTTGCGTAAACATGGCGAAATATCGTAGAAGTTAGGCGTACGTACAGTATATAAAGTATATCGAGAGCCATGCGTCTGTGGTTGACTTTGTAGTTTTAATCAACACGAGTGGGAGTAAAGTATAGATCAGAAATTTCGCGGTCTCCATCTCAAAGAAATCATCTCAATTAACTATAGGGTTTCAGAGCCGCGTTACTTTAGCTCTCCCTTTCATATCGTGTAGACACTTAGCACTCAATATTTTCCCTTGAGTAAACGCCGCTAGGAAAGCTGACACGCGTGCGAGTGCAGGTGCGAACTGGATATATGGTCGTGCTCATGTGTGTGTGTGTTGTCTCTCTCTCTCCCTCTCTCTCTCTCTCTCTCTCTCTCTCTCGCGCGCGCTCTCTCTCTCTCTCTCTG